ATTAGCAGCTCAAATTAAAATAACAACCATACAACTACACTTGGCCAAGAAACCCAATTGATTATAAATCTTAAAAAAAGTGCACCTCCAACTTTTAAGTGTTAGATTCAAATTAACCCTTATCAAATATGTACCTATTCAAATAAAAAAAAAAAATTACAAGCAGATAGTTTGCAAGGTATCATACAACGTCATCACCTTATCAATTCTACATACCAAACCTTTTTCTAACATTTTAATCAGATACAACACATATACATATCATCTGGCTATAATCAACCAAGTTGGAATAAAACCAGACATTGCATGTGCTCTTAATCTGAATAAGACAGGCCAACGAATCCACAAAGCTCGCTACTATGCTAGGAAACAAAGCCAAAGACCTAAAAAAGAGATCACATGTATGGAACAATAGCCTTCCTAGAGACGGGGAATTGGAGAGCAGAAACCTCACTAGTTAGAGAAGACAAGGGGTATCTCGCTTTTCAGATATGTATATCATAGCCTAAAAGATTGGAAAGCCTGAGTACAGCACAAAAGTAATTCCGGGGCAAGGAGGTCCCTCCCAGCTCATACTTGTTTTGAGAGTTAAAGTGAATTGGTAGGGGTCGTGGTCAAAGTATAGAACACCTCTGGATATATGATCCATTCATATATAATTTCAGTCATTATGAACATCGAGATGGTCACCTTCCAGCTGAAATCTGACTGGTAGTGGTAGAGGCTTCCAGGCATTCAATGCACAGAGAGATCTCATCTCTGTTTGAACTTTGAAGTGGAGGATATTAACCACCAACTGGTGAATGCTTCATTCCACCAGGAATTTGAATTCAACCAAATTTCAAAGCAAAAACAGAAATCATCTTGAATCAATTATAACGGTAGCAAAACCTAAATAAGTTCCACCTCAATTCACATTTCTGTCATACTCACAATCAAGTTTTGAAGTGGTGAAATGGTTATTGATTCCATAAAACTCCCATCATAAAGTAAAGCACACAAAACAGTAACTCACTTCAAAATGGGTTGAACAGAACCTAATTATTGTTGCCAGAGAGGAAGGGGAGGCGAGAGCAAAAGCCCCAGTGGGCTTGAGAGAGGCCTCATTGGTAGGAAGCATGAGATTAACCCTAGAACTATTCAACACTGGCTTTCAACGTGGATACCTGCATTCTACATCAGAAGTCTAGACTTCCACACCGTTTGCTCTCAATACTTTTCACTTGACTATTCTGTTTTACATCCTTCTTCAGATCATCATTTAGGCCTCGAGTTCGTCCAATTCCCAGCTAGGGCAAACCCTGATTTAATCCCTCCAGGAAGACACAAGCTTTACACCATTTCTGGCACAACAGAGTTCCATCAGTTTCAAATATATTATAACAATTTTGGACGAAAATAACAGTGAAAAATGGTTTCAAAGGTAACCAATGCATAAAGGGTGCACTGACTAGAAATGTAACCACATCTTTCACAAGTTCCCTGTTCTGGCATTTTTGTAGAACTGGATATTCTGAAATCTTCTCTTGATTTGATTATATCAAGGATAGCCCCGGGTCTGCAATTGCTAGTCATTAGACAATTTTGAGATTCTAACCATTTCCAGAACAAAAGCAACTTTATGTTAATTACTGCAATGGCAAAGAAGAAAGGGGAAAACCTAATTCTCTCTAAATCTTTGATGAATTCACGAGCAAAACCATGATATGCATTTGGAGAATATATGTCTGCAATTTAAATAACATAGCTCCACATGTTAGAATCAAAGAAACAATAGAACAGGAAATACAAGAAACTTGAATAAGAACGTGAAATCAACATTTACATTCAGTGGAGAAGTAGTCCAGCTTCCTGAAATAAGCATATACTTGGATATCCAGTTAAGGTTTTGGCAAAACTTTTGAATGAGTCAGATAAATAATTTTATCATTGAACTTTCAGTTTCAGAATAGTGTGCATTTCAAGTATATATCACAACATCCTAATCATATGTGTACTTAAAAGTTAAAAGGTTTGTATCTTGGAATTGGTCCATCTTCACCAGTTGTTATCAAAGTGCATCTACTCACCCTGCAAGGTAGAAAACATCATTTCAGTTTAACCAATATAACTGTAAAATATCCAAGAAAGAAAAAGAAAAAGAAAAAAAATAAAGAGTCAGCAACATATTACCTAGCAATATCACCCTGTAATATGTTCAAGAGAACTGTTTCAGCAATATCATCTGCATTATGCCTGGCAACAAGCATGTCTACTTTCAGCAAGGCAGCACCACGATCAAGAGCCTTAATTAAAGAAAATGAAGATATATCAGTCCAGTCAAATAATTCCCTCTTTCTCATCATATGACATTTAAGCGAACAAAGTCGGCAACAAGTCATGACTAGAACCAATTAATTGGACAAACAATAAGTTCCTTAAGATAAATAAGTCACATAGAGGCATGTTCATATTTAAATGAAAACATACAGAGGCATTGTGCATGCATTATCAATATACCTGACGTCGGAAAACACCACAAAAAGTGCAGTTATTCTTTAAACCAATCATCTTCACTATTTCATCCATTGTCCATCCATACAAATCCTTGTATGATACAATTTTTAGTGGCAACCCATACTGAGAGAACAAAAATGAAAAAATCTCATTATGAATAAACATAAAGCAAAATACCTAAGAATAATTGAAGCAAAAGCATGAAATGGTGGTACTTCAACAAAAATGAAAAACTGATTGGAATGTAAGCGTGGAAAACAAAAAAGCATTGCACATGGCAAAGGCTAAGCATAGATTGGCTTTGGCCCCAACAACTTAATAATTGTGGGCTAGTAGGCTGGGCCTGCCCGATATAAACGCTTGAAGCGTCGTCTTGAATTAAAAAACCTAGCCTTTAAATTTATGGGTATTTATAATTTTTTGTCTTATTATCATCAAATCTCACTGGTTTAGCATTTATAACAACGATCATTCTTTTTTTTACTAACCTCTTCATATTTTAAAAAAGTCATTAAATTTTAATTAATTCAAATTCAAATCTGACAATCCAAAAAAAAAAAACTTAAATTTAAGATTTTACTAAAAAAAAATAAATAAATTCCACCCACTTCAACCAACAGCTTGTTGGTCCCAACAACAATCATTTAAAGAAAGTAGAAGTTCAACCAACAGCTTGTTGGTCCTAACAACAATCATTTAAAGAAAGTAGAAGTTCAAGATGAAGAAAAAGCTAACCGGAAGTTCATTTCTTTTGACAGTTTCAAGGGGACTCATCTCTGTATCCTGTAATGCCCTCATCAACTGACAGGAGGAAAAGATGAAGGCCGTACCTATGCCGCCGATTCAGTTCCGATAATACATACTCAAGAACCGTTGATTCTACAACAATTAGAAGACAGAGCAAAACATAGAAAGAACTATAAGCAATCGTTTCCAACCAGTATAAAATAACTCACTAAAACAGGCTAAAATACCTTTTCCACCGGAGGCACCAATACCGATGCGCTCCCCGGGCTTAACCAGTTTGACTTCCCACAATTACTTGATGAATTTCTTCCTCAAATGCCTCGTAGAAACATTCTCTGCAAATCTTTAACAAACCATGATTTTAGCATCCAGTATCCAGTTTTCCTCCAATTCTGTGAATCAATTGTTAAGCCTGGAAAATTAAACCATACAGTACTTGGGAACATTTTGTTGGTTTGAAATTCAATTATAAACTGAAGTTACAGGGTTTTGGGTATTTTGAGAGCTGCCTTTCTCTGGTGACAAATACAGCAGAGGCGAGCTCTGGGCTTCTCACCGGTTTCCGCCATGGGAGAGGTTTCAGAGAAACCAACCGGGAAGGGAACAGGGAAAGCGGGACGGAAAAGTTTGCTTTTTCTCGAGTTCTTGGGCATGAGCCCTGGCCCGGGCCCGTAGAGAGTTCAAGGCAGATCATATGATTTACATTGATTTCTTTTGGGCCACGGGATTCATTTTTAAGGGTTCGGTGCCGGACTACTTTTTTGGGTTTTTAAGAAGGGTCCGAAGTAACTCTGGGCCAAGATTTAATAGTGTTCGATTGATTACTTACTCCAGTTAAGATTACTTTCCCACCGTATTTGTTTACACAGAACTTATTATAAGGTGTTAATTTATTATAATTAAATTAAATTTTGGAATAAATTAAAATTTTAATTTTAAATTATTTTATTTTATTTTATTAAAATTTAAAAATTATTTCATGAAATGTTAAAGCATGATTGGTAAAACTTGTAATTACTTTAACTTTTTGATACTATTCATATTTCATAAATTTAAACTTCTCTCTTAAAAACTTAAATTTAATCACTTTTTACTTACTTTTTATTATTTTTAAAAATAACCTTTAAATTTTCTCTATAGTAAAAATTTAAATTTGCGACTCATAAACAATATTTAAAAAAAATAAAAACTCCAAGAAACTCCACTAAACATATCTTTAATACGTAAATCTAAAAGCTAAATATATTAAAATATATAATCAACATTTAAATCTAGATATCAACATTTAATATGATAAA